ACAACATACGGAAGGAAGTACATGGTATAAAGCAGGATATGAAATACCTTACACTTAAACTACTATGTTTGCAAGAGTGTGTAAACCAAAATTAAAAGGAAACCTCATCTTTGACAAAGAGAGGTGGTATGATGAAGACTGGAAGAGATACATCTCTGTCAAAAGTCTCAGATGCATGCCAAGGTAACCTAAGGATGAGATGAGAAGACATGAGTTGCTCCATCTGCTTAAACAGTGTTTAGACTATGGTAATACTAGCCTAAATAAACCAGAACCTTAAATTCTGCATATATACAAGTGACACTTAAATCATAGTTTTAATCTTCAATTTAAATTTTGACTTAACCTGAACTGAAACATTATGTACAGTAGGAGAAGACAGGGAACACCTCAACAAACTGGGTATTCACATATTCATGGGAGTAGATGGGACGCTTCCAGGGGTGCTGAGGTAGTTGACTGATGTCACTGTGAGACTTCTCTCTCATTTGGAGAGGTCGTAGTGATTGGTGAAATTTCACGATGACTGGAAAAGAGCAAACAGTATGCCCAGTGTCAAGAAGGACAAGAAGGGAGCACCTGGGGAATTACAGGCTAGCCTGCCTGACCTCAGTCTTCAGGAAGACTGGAGAAAATCCTCCTGGAAGCCATTTCCAAGGAAATAAAGGACAACGATGTGGTTAGGAACAGCTGAGATGGATTTGCCAAGTGTGAGCTGTGCATGACAGCTTTTTGTGGTAACTGATTCCGTAAAAAAGGGGAGAGCAGCAGATGTTGTTCATCTCAACTCTGGCAAGGCTATCTGTACAGTTTCAGTAGTGTCTCTTCATCCAAACTAGTGAGATACGGTTTGGATAGGTGGATGGAAAATCGACTGAATGGCCAGATACAAAGGTTTCTGATCAGCTCTACAAAGTCCACCTGGCAGCTGGTAGCTAGTGGCATTTCTCAGGAGTCAATACTAGGGCTGATACTATTTTGTGCTTTACTGACAAATGGGGACGACTGAACAGAAGACACTGGCAGCTAGTTTGTGGGCAACATCTGACCAGGAGGAGTGGCGGGTAGGCTGGAAGGCAGGGCTGCTCTTTGAATGGACCTCCCCATGCTAGAGAAACAGGCTGATGGGAACCCCATAATGTTCAAAGGCAAATGGGGAGTCTCTCCCATATGTGGGCAGACTGGAGCCCTGGGAACCTTGGCTGCCTGGAAAGCAATTTTGCAGGAAAGGCCCTGGAGTCCTGGCAGGCAGCAAGCTGAGTGTGGGCCAGCAGTGTGCTCTTGTGGTGAAAGACATCAACTGCATACCGAGTCCTATCAGCAAAACTGTAGGCAGCAGGCCGAGAGAAAGGATTTCCTTCTTTTGGGTATTTGTGAGACCGTATCTGGAGCACTGTGTTCAGTTTTGAGCTCCCCAGTACACTGAAGACACTGCTATACTGGAGCAAGCTAGCTGGCAGTCCGCTGAAAAAATTAAGGAGACGGAATGTAAGATGTAAGCAGAAAACTGTTACTGAAACCAGCAAAATGATTTCTTCAGCCAAAAGAAGAGAAAGCTTATGGGAGATCTTCTTGCTGTCTTCAGTTGCCTGACAGGCAGCTGTAGAGGGGACAGAGCCAGGCTCCTCTGAGGCATGGTGGAAGGATGCAAAGCAACAAATACTGGCTGGAACATGGGAAATTCCTACTTGATTGGAGGAAAAAAAATCTTTACATTGAGAGTGATGGAACCCTGAAGGAGCAGGCGGCTGAACTAGAGACCTCCTGGAGTCCCTTTTAGCTTAAGTTACTTTGTGATTGGCAGGTTTGACCAGAAGTGATAGGGTATTGATACAGCATTGCAGGGAACATCAAGGGTCGTTGACCCATGGGTCGTTGCCGGTAACGCAAGCAACTATGGCATAAACTTATTTCCTCCATTTTCAAATTAGTCAGGCTGTTTGCCCATGCTGATTGTCTTGGATCATTGTGTTAGAGTCTCCCTCCTGTGCTGTTTACAAACAGTTGATTTTTTTTTTTTACAAAAGGTCCTAGTTACCTTCTGGTGTGGGTTTTTTTCCTGTTTCCAGTATAGGCTGGTTTGTTCTTCAGCATAAAAATTCCTTCCTCCCTCTAGTTTTCACTTTGCTGGTAAGTTAGAATGTTGTGCTTGTTGCATAATGGGTTTTTCTTAAGCTGTTTAATTCAGCCTGCAGGTTTGAGTGGGAAGAGAAATGCATGTTAAATCATTTACTGTGAGCTAATTTTCTTAAGGTTTTCTATTTCTCAGAAGTTGCGTGTTTTCAGGGGCTTTAGAATTAGAAATATATATAAAACGGCAAGCTTTTTGTGTAGAGATTTTTTCAATGTGATTATCTTCCTAGACATGCATCTTACATGTTGCAAACATACATTCATCTCCTATTTCTATGACTGCAGTAATTAAACGATAATGAGCACCATCTCGGAGAGCTTGGCTTTAATTTAATACAGAGTATCTTCACAGGTGGAGAGGTTCTAATTGAAACTTCAGGTGATTTCTGCTTGATGAAAGAGGTTTTGATAGCCAGGATTTAAAGCAAAGAGACAGGGAATGTTGTTTTCCTCTTGGCTTTATCTGCAGCTGGCTGCTTGGGTTACCTTATATGTTGTTCTAGTAAATGTTCCCTGGGGAAAAAAACCAAAACCAAACCTGTTTGTTTCCCTCTGTACTTTCGGGTCATCCCACCAAATTTACAGTCCCGTTACAACAATTGAGATAACTTGGGAAATGGTGGTATATAGGGAGAATATTTTCTGAGGTGAATGGGGGAAACTTCTCCTGGTAAAAGGTGCTGTCTCTGAAGTATCTGCATTTATATGGTCCTTAACACAGTGAGGCACTGATTCATGGTTACAGTTTTTTGCATCAAGTTAGATCCGAGATGCTTTGTCTTCTCCAAGACATTTTCTTTTTGGTAGATTTAATTTTATTGAATTGGGTACTTCAAACTTTACTAAGTTAAACTCTGATTATAAACCAACATTTTTTTAAAAATCAGAAGTCAACTTGAAGTGGCAACTTTATTATTAGACTCAAAAAAGAATTTTAATAAGATGAAACTTTGTTAGCAGTTCACATATCTAATGTTTGCAGCAGCCTCCTTGGCCTGTCAGTGGAAATAGCAGCGGATCTGGAAGCTACTTTCTGGAGAAAGCTCTGAAGAGCCATTTCCTGCGCATGCCTTCCTGAAATACAAGTATCTAACACATGCTTAAGTTCATGTACCCTGCCTTTTGTGAGTAATACAAAATCGATGTAACTGTATAAATGCGTGAATAAAATTTTCATTCCAAAATAGGCGGACTTCCAAGATGTTGTATGGAAACATCTTTGTTACCAGCCTACATAAAGTCCAGACCACTGAATTAACAGGTTATGAGATTTTACTGACTTGTTATATAGCTAACAACCTCATGGCCTCTGCAGTGCCAAGGACAAATCACTCGTATGCTTTTGAGCCTGTTGCGCCAAAAAAAGAGGATCTCAGCAGGCCAAGGGGGTAGTTGTCTTCTGCTTGAGGCACTATATATTCTCAACTAAGTGCTGTGCTAATGCAGGCAGACTCTGGGTTCGAGCCACCATGCATCCTTCAGAGAAGCAGTGTGTGAGTACTGGAAAATGCTGCCATTTTCTGATTGTTTCTTTGCTTCTCCTCTCTCCTGAAAATTGCAGCGATGTATTTAACTGTGCCCAGTGGTGGTTTTGGAAGGATTACCGATAAACCCAGTGCAGTCTCTCCATCATCACCAAGGATTTTGCTATAGGCTGTGTGAATGGCTGTCGCTGAGCCGCTGGGTGGCATCACTGCATCATTTTGGGGTTCATGGGTGATTTACCCTTCAGGAACATCAGAAAGATGCCAGCTGCACAAACAAGAAAAATAAGCAAAAGAGCTCACTTAGACAATTTAGGAACAAAAATATTAGCTATGCCATTTTAGTTTTTCTCTTGCGCTTTATATAAATTTAAGTAATCCTTGCTTATATCTTTGATGTTCGTACTTCGTACTGTTCCATTCATGCAAAACTGATAACACTGATTAAATCAAATGCAGAATACACTCATCCATGCACATAAACAACGCCAATGTCAACACTGGAAAAAATACCATGATTCTTTTGGTGAACATTGCTGTAATGTTTAACCTACAAAGAGAAAACTTTTATCAGACTTCAGATGAAGAGACACAGATGCAGTTGGAAGGCTGTGCTAATCCTTTTGCTTTCTAGTGGAATGGGGATAGTATTCTCAATGTATATTTCAACAGACGTGTCTGTGTTTTTCAACATACATCATCTCAGTACTCCTATGAGGTTATCACAGCAGTCCTGCTGTTAGGGGAACTAAGATACAGAAAGGCTGACATGATTTGTACAAGGATGCTTGGAAGGTCCCTATGCAGAGAATTGAATCTAGGCATCCTGCCTTGTATCTTTGTATGTGGACCACTAAAAAAAAAAAAAAAAAAAAAAAAAA